CCCCTGCTGTTCACAGTGAGTACTGTACTGTAGTACTGCCACACATCGCGGACAACCATATGCTCTCCGCTGTTGTACGGGTTTGATGGCACTCTCCACCACCTCTCTTGAGGGCTTGATGATGTGGATTTTCCTCAGAGATCAAAAGACAGAAAAACCAAATACGAAGTACTTGTTGTAGTCTAAGGAATAAGAGAATCGGGAGGATGCGACAGTCAAAAGGAAGAAGAATTGCCATTTTNTGATGGCACTCTCCACCACCTCTCTTGAGGGCTTGATGATGTGGATTTTCCTCAGAGATCAAAAGACAGAAAAACCAAATACGAAGTACTTGTTGTAGTCTAAGGAATAAGAGAATCGGGAGGATGCGACAGTCAAAAGGAAGAAGAATTGCCATTTTCGAAATGGACGACTTGGGCCGGTACTTCAACCCAAAAGAAGGGATTGGTGGGACTCGAACCGATTTTGACGTTTCTTAACTGCGGGCGCTATCTGTAGGATCGAACGTCCTCCAAGCGAGAGGTAACCTCGCCCTCGGTGAGGGACGAGGTTATGCACGACTCTTTTTTTGGCATCAGATGGACCGCCGGTAGATGGGAGGAATCTATCCATACCAACACCCAGTTGCAGCTGCAGCAGCAGACCGCTCGTTACTTCTGCTGTCTGTGCGTCGCTACATCTGCACTCAATGTGGTGCGTGATTCGTGCAAAGAGCGGCTCGCAGGCCCGCAGGACACAAAAAAGGGGGTACGCGGCAGAATGATGGGGGTTCCCCCATTATCGTATATTCTGCCGGGCCCCCGGTGCTCCGCGAAACAAGTTTCCTTTGAGCGGGGAGTTCCTTAACGCGAGCGTCATTAAAGCGGGGTCGACTGTACTTGGTACTTGCACATTGCAAGATAACAAGGTATTGTTGCACAGCAGCAGACAGGCAATTATCGGCCCATCTCCGGTAGGCTGGCTGACAGCTGCACGATGACTATACTGCTACTGCAACCGACGATGAAGAATTGTCCGGATGTTTCGGTGAAGTACACACTCGGTGCTGGCAGCGGTCTGCAGTCTGCTGCTGTTGCTGCTGCTTCAGGCAAGCTGCTGCAAGCTGCTGGTTCAAAATGATTATAATCAGTGCCGATATACTGGTACAAGTAGACGGAAGACGTCGTCGCTCCATACAGCAGTACATCGCCACTGCCACTTTTTGCGCGTGCTACTTGCGGCAGCATACAAGTTGATCCGGTCGCTTCAAAGGACCATTACGGCGTCTATGTTGCAGCTGTGGTGCGTTTTTCTACCATGTCTACTGCTGTCGTTTGTCTGTACCAGGAGTTAAAACAGTCGTGGAGGTCTTCGCTCTCTTCTGGAAATATACTCAAGTCTCGTGGTGCAGTTTTGTTGTTTTTTTCGACGATGCGGTGCGGTGCGGTGCGGTTATCCGCACACCATGCGGAACCNCGGTGCGGTCATCGAAACGCACACCACGCGGAACGGCAATATTTCGGAACTCAAGTGGCAGGGTAGTTTCTGGCGACATGCCCGTACTGTTGGCACTTGCTGCGTTGCACCAGAGGATACAAAATGGGGGGCTGGGATCATGCG